ATGATCGTCTAATGACACCGCCACCCATCTGCTACTCTGCGTCTCTTTCTCTCGCAAACCCAATGGAAAGGCAGCTGGGTTTTTGTAGCTCTCGATTGTGAGGGCTAGGGAATTGACGAGCTGGAAAAAAACATGGTTAAGAGGGTTTGAGCGGCTGTAGCTCCAGGATTCGTTTAGGGTTTCTTTTTTTATATAATACTAATAATAATAGTAATAATAGTTATTATTATTATTATTCCTAATCCCCGGTTGCAACTCTTCGTACATACTCGTTAAACCCACCGTTCACATTTTATGGTCGAATCGAAACCCAAAGGTCGGGGTGTTACACTTCCGCCTCTAATAGACGCGGCTCTTCCCCTCCTACTAATCGGTGTGAACCTCTTCATCACGTGAGACTACGAAGTTCGATCGGCTGCTAACTTTCTCGCCTTCTTTCCCTCCTTAGCCGGATTATCCAAGGAAACCTCTAGAACGTGCCTAGGCCTAGGTTGGATGACCCGGGACGTTGATCTCCTTGCTGATCAAACCCTCAATGTCACCGCTAATAAAAATACGAGCTTCGGATTAGACTATCGGTAAATCGAGTTTATAGATCGCGAAGGAGTACATGATCCTTACCTAGAAACACGAGGGCGATGGGATCGGGATCGGGTGCAACTCCTTCTTCTTTTTTCTCTCTCCGCGCCCGCGTTGAGAAGCAGGGACAACGGTGGCGGTTTATTTCTTGCGCCACTGGGAATTGCAAAAGGGGCGGGGGTTTATTGATGGCGGGTTTGGGAGCGAGTTCGGGGTCGATTGGACGAAGATTGGGCGCGAGGCAAGTCACCAAGGAAGCCACACGGGCACACACACAACTCACACGGCCGTGCAAGTGACCAAGGAGGCCGTGTGGGATTGTGCGAGCCTTCACACGGGCACAAATAAATTCCACACGGCCGTGTGAAGTTGCAATTTGGCCGTGTGGAATTCTGCGAGGCTTCACACGGCCAGGCTGGGTGAGCTACACGGCCGTGTGCCCTGGCCGTGTGGGAAGCCTGAAACCCAATTATTCGGAACGCGGCATTTTGACCTCACACGGGCAACTGGGTATGCCACACGGCCGTGTGGCCTGCCCGTGTGAGTCGGGAATTTCTGGTTTTTACCCAATTTTGGGCTGCAAGTGAGAGGATCGGATTTTCAGAGCAAAAACAGAGCCCTAGAGAGAGAAAGTACGAAGAACACATCCTAGAAGCGATCTTGGAGCTGGGTTTCATCAAATCGAGCTTGGAGATCGTCATAGGAGTTGAAATCATCATCCCAGAGCAGATTCTTCCCATTGTTATGAGTATGACTGCTTTGTATTCTGTTTTCCTCTCTCTCTCTCTATGGAGTAGAACCCTTCTCTCACTTGGGTATGAAGAACCCTAGTTCCATGTGTTAGGGATTTGATTGTAATGACTTGGGATGATTATACTGTTTGGTTTTAATCGAATGATGCTTGTTTATTGAGTCAATTGAAGTCTGATCAGCTTTTCCTGATTTCTGCTGCAACCTGAGATAGATAGAATCTGATTAGGTTGTTAGAGCCTCATCATTCGGTAGTAGGAGATTGGCTATACGAGAGTTAGCCAGTTTACTGCTTTGTACTGGAATCCAATTCCAGTAGTGGAGTTCTGTGCTTATTGCTTCAGCTCTCTATCCCGGTGAAGACTAGTTGTCTGTCGGGTAGTTAGACTGAGATGGCTTGGTCAGCTTAAGAGATTCCAAGCTACTGTCGGATCTTCCGCAGTCTAATCAATAGTAAATCAACCCAGGGAAAATACAATTGAAACCTAACTAAGGAGCTAGGGGGACTCATTCCCGAGTGACTCTTCTTTGCTTCAGAAAACCGTACCAATTCCTGCTTTCTTTATGCTTTTGCTTAAAACAACAAACACTTAACTTAGTTGGCTAGATAATAGATAATCACGGAGTAAGCAGTAGATCTAGACCCCGGGTTGATAATAGAACTTGCCACTTTACTGCATTCCCGGACTGCGATTACACTTGGTCGCAGTTTGGTGTTGTGTTTTAGCGTGTCAGTAAACCCCACTATTACTGTTGTTCATTGTGGTGATGTGAAGTAAGAAAGCAAAGAGGGCATCTCTCCCAAAGAAGAAAGGAAAAGAGCTTGGCGGGAAAGGATGAATCACGCTAATTCCCGGAGGAAGGAAAAGGGCAAAGCGAAAATCATCGGCCAAGAAGGCTATCCCATGGAGTTTAAGTTGGGAGGCGACATGCCTCGCCTCAAGATCGTGGCGGATCCACTCTTGGTGGCATCATGTTCAAAGGCGTTATAGATCCGCAGCGTCAAGTTAGTGACGTTAACGTAGCACTTGTTGGGAGGCAACCCAACGTAGGTTAGTTTTCTTTTCCTTATTTTCATTTTTGTGTCGAGTGAAGAGTTCAAGTGGTCGAGTGGTATCCCTGTGCCAGAATTTTGTGATTGCATGTTTTGAGTTGTGTCGTGAATGATAGTATGCATGGTGGAGTAGGTCGAGTTAAAAAATTTAGAAAATGCCTTGTTTTCACTGCAGTTCACGATTTGCGCTTGCAGTTCACGGGCTTAATCGACCGTGAACTGTCAAACGCGTCCTGAACAAGGATGTTTCCACGTGTGTCAAACCCACTGGTTCGCCCCAGTTGATGGATGGATTGTTATGTTCACGGTCTTAACGACCATAAACTGGCAGACGCGTCCGTGAACCTTGGGGTCTGCCTATAAAAGGGTCGTGAACACTTTCTCCTTATTTTACAATCCAAAACTCACCGGAAAACTTTCAAATTCACTAGAAAACTACGATTTTCCGACGAATTTTTCCATTTTCGTCAACTTCTGGCGATCCAAAGGAAAAAGCAATCACCGACCCATTCTCCCCTCATCAAGGGCGGTCTTTACCGAGTTTTGAGGGGATTTTGAGTCATTTTTCCGGTGAAGTCGTCGGCGGCGAGCCTCCGACGAGATTTTGGTGAGCTTCCGGCGAAGCTCCGGCGACCCTCCTCCGGCCTGTTTTCAGCCAGTTTTTTGCCTCCCTTGCCCTCTCCTCACTTCCCCTACCATCCTACTTGAGTCTGCAGGTTTGTTTTCAACTCTACCTTGGTTAATTTGGGAGAATCCAATTAGGTAGTGAAGTAAGGAGAACCTAGAGAAGTGAATGTTGAACTTAGCAATAGGGCGAGGGATTAGGTAAATTGTGATGAATGAATGATTTAATAATGTTTGCATGAGCTTATTTGAGCCTTGGTGGGCATGATTTAATTCAAATTGCTTTTATTTGTAGAATTTGCCCACCATGTGCTAATTTGTGAATGAATGTGCAATTTTTATGCTTGAGTGGTGAATGGTAGCCACCATGGCATGGTTTGGGTTAGTTTTTTGTGTGGATAATCCGTGAAAAACCTAGGACCATGCCTAGTTGTACTTGAGCTTAATTATTTTAAATAGCATGGACCCGTAGTGGAAATATAAGTGTGGGGGGGGGGGGGATTCCTTTTTCCTCCCAATGAGTTGAGATTGACAATTATTTCCACGTATGGTGCATGTTTAAACTTTTGCACGACACTCGACACGGATCATGAGTACATCCGCTACTTGGTGAACCATGAACGGTTTAGGGCCAAGTTTGCTTATCAGAGGGACAGTCCAATTGGACCGCATTGGAGGCTAGACTTGGAAAGGTTTAACATGTTCAGGTGCCTAGCCACGATGTCAGGGGTTGCATGTCACCCCTAGTGGCGCCAGCTGCTGATAGCGGATGAGCTCATCTACCATGATCTCTGCGTGGAGTTCTACTCCACCTTCTCCCACGTCTTCCTAACGAGCAAGAAGAGTCGGCCCCACGTGGAGTTCATGCTCGGAGGTCAGTCGCGGGTGCTCACTTACGACGCCTTCGTCCAAGCCATGGGAGTTGAATACTCATCTGGATCTGAGTGGGAAAATGACGCCACAAGAGGGTGCGACATGAATGCAACATTTCGAAGATTTTGTCTCCTGAAGCACCGACGAACACCATTTCAATCGGCATTCATATTGGCGTCCACACTCAAGCCACACAGTGGCGCATCATCAATGCACTCCTTGCCCGTTCCCTCTACCCGAACTATCACATTCCGAACAAGATAACCAAGAGGATCTTGCTAGCATTTGCTTGCATGGTGGATCCGTCCAGCAATCTTCATCTTGGTTCAGTCTTGGCCACCACTTTCGCCAGAGCCATTGGGGAAAATCGACGATATGTCACATCAATGGGGCCCTACATCACCCATCTTGATGGTCACTTTAATGTTGACTTTGCGGGTTGCACCAAGGAGGGGCATACCAAGGGGTTTGAAGAGGGTACTTTGAGTTCCATGCGTTTGCTGCGAACATTTGGCCCATTTCGGTACATTGAGGGACTGAATCTACCACCAGGGGTCCCTCCTTCAGAGCAGCAACCTGCTCGAGCGGCCGGCGTCTCGCGCTCCAGCGTCCTGCACCACCACCAGCATCATCAGGAGCCGGTCCTTCCACTTCTAGGGTGCACCTAGTGTAGAAGATGGACCGCCTTCAGACCCACATAGTGGGAGTCACTTCTTGGCTTGACCGGCACACCGACTTGCTAGTAGGGTTGTCATTCAGTCGGTTTCAGTTTAACCGAAAATCGAAATCCCGGTTATCGGTTAAACTGAGCCACTCCCTATGACTACCACCCACCGACCGTGAGAAAGCCACGGTTAGCCGGCCAACCGACCGGTCGGTTTCGGTTTTAGGCTCGGTTAGCCGCCTACAAAAAAACCTACCCCTTCTTTTCAAAACGTTTGCGTTTAATTAATAAATAAATAAAACCCAAGGAAGATAATCATCCCCCATCTTCCTCACAACAACTGCTTCTCTCTCCTTACCTTTCTCCATTTTAGATCTGGCTTCTCTCTCCTTCCTTCTCTCTCCTTCCATCTCTCCATTTCAAACAGGAAGAAGCAGCCGCAGTCGCTAGGAAAGGATGACGAAGGCGCGGGAGAGGAAGCTCTCGCCTGCTGAGGACGACGGAGGCGCTCGCCAGCGGAGGACAAGGGAGGCGATGAAGGCGCGGGAGAGGAGGCGCTCACCTGCGCGCGGCGAGTGGAGGTGCGATTGGAGGGAGGCGGCGGGGCGATTTGAGGGAGGCGGGGGAGGCGGCCGGAGTCGTCATCGGCTCGTCACTGCTGTGCTGTGGCCTGTGTGGAAGTGGAGTGGGGCGGCTGTGCAAAATGAGAGGAGGGAGGATGGGGGAGGATGAAGGAACGAAGGAAAGGGCTGCTAGGGTTTAGGACGGGGTTGGGTAGTTTTATTTAGGCCAAAACGGGGTCGTTTAGCGTCGGCCGGTTAACCGACCTCGGTTTTTCGGCTAACCGCCTAACCACTGAACGCCTCCGACAACCGACCGCCACCCATTTTTTGGTTTTCGGTTAGCCGCTAACCGGCAATCGAACTGACAGCCCTACTTGCTAGAGCGGATTGCTCGTCGCCAGGGCCTCCTTCCAGATGATGAGACGAGACCTTCGACCCGTGATGTGGTAGACGACGAGTGAGACATGTGGTCGAGCCGATTCCTTCCGCCCCACTTCTCCACTTGGAACTCTGAACTCTTTTATTGTATTTTTCTCTCTTTTATTTGGTATCTGTGAACAACTACTACTATCGTACTGTTATGTGTAATAACCTCGCCTCGAGCGAGTATGTGTTGTGTTTGTGTGTGTGTTTTTTGTCTTCTCCTTGAAGATCAAATCTCCTACCCCGGAAAAATTCCAACTTTCACTCACCAATCAATGCGGTAACATCATTCTACCCCTATCTTACGCCATTGAGGGCAATGTCGAACTTAAGTGTTGGGGGGAGGGTAGTTTATTATTATGCTAGTGTGATTGATCTTGGAGCCTTGATGTATGCCCAAATTTGAAAATTTTGAGGGCTCCAAGCAATGTTTGCATGATCAAAGTGGCCGGTTGGTGGGAGAATCTCGTGTTTATTGGCATTGACCTTGAATTGTTGCATGTGATCGAGTGTGTCCTATGATGATGACTGAGAGGTGCATTAGAATAGTGCAAATGTTTAGTTCTCATGTGTGCTAAAATGAATGGATGTCTTGATTCGATTACTTGTTGATTACAATTGCCATGCATTGTGTTTTGTGAATTGGAATTGATGATTAGGTGACTAGGTAGCCAGGTGAGTTTTGAGCTGATCGTTTTCTTCTTGTGTGCTTAGATCCCTCTTACCATGGCGAGTAACATCACAGTTGTCACTAGTGAGTATGATGGAGGCATAGGATTAGTCCACGCCCAAAAGTTGATTGTCCCAAAATGTTTTATCCCCTAGTCAACCCCTTTGAGCCTTGTGACTATGGGGAGTCGTTCTCTTGTAAGAGCTTTTTGCTTGTGAGCTTAATGGTGTTTGATAGAACGACCCCTTCTTTGTGTCTACACGTGAGTCGTCCTTGTGTCCCGGAGATCTCGCTTCTAAGTTCCATTGAGGTTCTACAGAGGAGGATTGTGTGCGGTTCTTGCTAGGAATGAAAGAGAAAAGAGTAGTGCTAGAGTAAAAAGAAAAAAAAAGGAAAGGAAAGTAGAAAGAAAGATAATTGAAAAAGAGGTAATAAAATGAGGGAAATAAAGTAGAGAGTGCCACAAAAATCAAAGAGTATGCTCTAGGAGGGGTCTCTTGGCACTCAAGCCATTGAAACCCCACATTGTTGTTAAAAATCATTCACTACCATGTCGAAATGTGATAGAAAGAGTAGACCAAGGATGTGCGCTTAAATATAGTTCATGATGGGTGATAGTTTAGAAGGGAGAAGTGACGTTTTTGGCTGATGCTAGTGGCCATTGGTTGTAGGGAAGGTTCTTAGTCGAAACCATAGAACCTTCGGGGTTAGGGTGAAGAAGTAGGACCTCATGTTGTGATTGTCACCACCCAAAAAGCCTTTTCCCTGTGTCCAAGACAATTGCCAGTCATTTGAACCCATGTCTAAGACCTCCGGACAAACTAGTGATGACAACCGTCCTGTGAACTCTAGCATTTAGAGGTTGTCGCCCTGGTGAAGAGACGATAGGGCAGAGTGTTGATGATTGTGCACATTCTTTGCTCCAAAAGGTCCCGACCCCACTGGTCAAAAGAGTGAGTGATTCATTCTTGCTTTGCATATCATATCATACCCCGATGAGGACCTTTGGTTTCCATTCGTTTGTTCCTTGAACTTGAATGTTATGCATGGTTAGTTGTGGTTGATAAGTGATCTTGTTGAGACTTGCATTGATTCATGAACAAGGTAAGAACTTTTCGTTTGCCTGTTTTTGGTGACCACGATTGTCGTTTGTGGTGGATGTCGGTATTGCTAGCAACGGCCCATGTGTTAATTACCAATAGCCATTGAGATTTGCCACTTTGTTCCCTTTGATTTTTCCCCAAAGCATTTTGTTAGGTTGAGATATTACCTTGTGTGAAATGGTTTGCTTGGGGACAAGCAAACGTCTAAGTGTGGGAGAGCGATTCGGGGCTAAATGTACACTTTTTATCCCCGTTTTGCTTTGACATTTGTGGCAATTGAGCTCCAAAAAGGGTGGTTTTAAGCTAGGTTTCTTGTGTTTCAATGTGTTTCAGAGTCTAACAGGTGAAACCAACCAGAGAGTCGAAAGTTGGAAGAAAAGGAGCAAAGACCGGGCAGAGAGGAATTTTTCAGCGTTGTTCATGGTCAAAGCTTGGAGTTCACGGTCGACAGGACCATGAAGTGGAACCACAAATCGTGAACTGTGAAGCCTCCATAGGGGTTTCAGAGGTTACTGACAGCAAGGAATTTCATGGTCGCTAAGACCGTGAACTGGAGCCATGGACCGTGAACCCCAGAAGTGTAGCGGCGCCTTTTGATCAAGTTCACGGCTGTGAACTAGGGCCGTGAACTGGGCACGATTTGAGTATAAATGGAGAGCTGAAAGGAAGAAGAGGAGGAGAGCCCAAAGTGAAAGAAACCTTCTTCTTCTTGAAACCCTAGAGAGAGAAAGTCACTAGCCAAGAGGGAGAAGAGGCTAGGGTTTGCTCCAAGTGAAGATTTTGGAAGTTCCTCATCTTTGGAGGATCTCTACAAGGAGAGTTGGAGGCATCACAATGATGGTTTATTTCTTCCTCTTTTGAGTTCTTCCTTTATCTAGCATGGAGTAGTTTCCCTTTTCACTTGGGTGTTGTAGAACCCTAATTAGTATAATGTAATTGATTGTGTGGATTGAATGATTGTGTGATGGTGGTGTTTAATTTAAAAATTGAGGTATTTTCATGGTGATTGTGCATATTGTTTGCTTGGCAATCTATTGTGCTATTCTAAACTAGCTTAGAGAGAAGCCCCCTTATCTTAAGAGGCTCTAATTGAGCTGGGTTTTCTTAGGCATTCCATACCTCCTAACTAGGTTAATGAAGGGAAAACCTCTAACTTGAATTGGACACTTATGTTAATTGTGATTATGTCGTCCAAACCTTTGTTTAAGGGAGAAGGTAAGTAAACCCTCGATTGCTTGGGCCAAGAGGGCTACAATTGTGGCCTATAATGTTTCCCTTGGCCTAGAAATTGAGAGGATGGTTTCTAACCATTGTTGCCCCTCCTACGGGTTGCAATTTCCTTGTCACACACCGGTTCATTAGATCCCACGGTTCATGGTAGTTAGTTAGGGGGGAGCAACACCCGAGTGAAGCTTCTCGCCAAGAGTTTTCCACCCTTTTACTTTTCAAGACTTGCTTCAAAATAGTAGATTGTAGAGATTTCAACAAACAACATTCCGCTAGGTAATGTTTCAAACAATCGAAGTAGAGGTACATGAGTCGGCCAAAGCTCCTTGTCGTACTCCTCCCATTCTTCATCTCCTCTGTACTGACCTCCCCTCTGTCTTCCTAAAGAAACCGAATAGTGTACACTATAACATCGGTCTCCCTCATGCAATCGAGGCCAGAATAGTGATTATTGGGCTGACCGAGAAGAAACAACCACATCGTCACAGTTCTCCCATTGCCTGCCGTCGATTGATTGAATCACACTCTATAACGGTTGTCTCCCTCATGAAATCAAAGCCAGAGCATTGATTATTGAGCCGCCCAACATGAAACAATTATATTGTCTACAACGCTCGCATTGCGTGTCGCCGATTCACTTAAGTGCAGTTTTCAATAGGTAATACTCTCCATCTGCCCACAAGATGGTCTTCACCGCCGAAATCGGTCAGAAATCTATTGCTGGTCTTTCTTTCAATATCCTTGATCCTTTGTTTTCAATACCTTCTTTGATTTCCCATCCATTAAAGTTCCATGTAGGGTTAAGCTTAGTTCTTCATGGTTGGGATTCCTATACTACATAATGCCAACCTAAATCGACGCTGGGATACCTTAGAATGGAGCTAACTTCATGGAGCGTATGTGTAAGATGGTTTGTTTTTCACAATGCAGTCAAAATCGCGCTTTAAAACTTAAAAACTTACGGTTTTTACGTTTTTTGGTCACCAAAACATTTTCGTTTCCGTATAAAATCTTTATTGTATAAAATCATACTAAACTGCGCTTTAAAGCTTAAAAGCTTGCAATTTTGCGCTTCTAGTTCACCAAAATTCTTTATGCTTTTACGCTTTTAGCTCACGTTATGAGTATTCTTTTCATGAAATTAATTATAAAAAGTATATTTTAATGGTAAATCACCAACAATATGGTACATTTAAGTTTAAAAAGATACACACCAGGTACTTGGATGCATTCTCAGTTTCAATAGAGCAGTCTAATTTACCAGTTAGGACCTTCCCAAATTCATTAGCATAGAGGGGAAGGTGGCTTGTTGTTAAGATCTATGTTTATGAACTTATTGTTAAGATGCTATAAGTTGCTCTACTCGAGACATGAATTGTAAGTATTTATTAACTTATCTAAATTCTGGCCACTCATGTTTTACATAGTATATGTCATACTCATTAGTATTTTATTTATTTTACAATATGCATAAAAAACTTACGTTTTTACACTTTGATTCTACGCTTTATAAATTTACCTCTTTTCCGCCTCTAGATAGAATTTTGCTTTTAACTGCATTGGTTTTTCACTCACGCTAGCTATGTTTTTACTTTTCAATCAGCTGCGTTCCTATCTAACCACGAATTGAATTTCCTAGTTTCATATAGCTTCTTGACCGCAGTCAACCAAGGGGTGAAGTGTCCAATTTTGCAACTTATTCCATATTAGGTGCCGAATGCAAAATTGGGTGTAAAGTCCTATGTT